CCCCCCCGAGCCGCGGTGGTTGTCTTGCTGCCCTTCCTCATTTCTTGCCCGGCCCCCATGGACGACTTCGTAGTCATCTTCATCACCTTGCCACCTATAGCCATCCATGAAACCACGCAAGAGCAGGTGGTCCCGCACCTGCCCGGAATCCGGGTCCGCAATAAGGCTATTCAGCTTGCATCTTCGACACGGACATCTTATCTCCGTCTCGTTCTTTTGAAGCATCTCGGCCTTCGCGGACCTCAAAAACCTATTCACGATGCCTTCGGTCATCGTGCGGACGATGGTCGCCTGCAGGGTAGAGCAAAACGATATTTTAGAACCAAGAAAAAATTTGGCATGACTTTCCCTAAAAATAGGACCAAAAAGAATGCTTAATGCCAAAATTCTCGCCGAAACGGAAATGAATCAACATTCCGGCAAAATATTGGCAACTATCGCATTTCAAATACCGGTACACCTCCAAACACAAACACATATGCAACACCACAAACATATGCAACACCACGAACATACATAGATCTAGCTAGGCCATAAAAAGTGCATGTGCACATTGTTGTAGGGAGAACAACATAAATATAGCTCCCCCCTTACTTACCTAGCAAAACAAGGTAACTTAACCACTTAATTTGAATGAATCTAAGGTGGAAATGAGGTGAAAAAGAGGAGGCACCCGAGACAAGGAGGAGGCGGTGGAGAGAATGAAGTAGGGAGAAAGTGAGTGTGGGAGGAGAGGCTGTCCAAAATATCTTGTTGCTGCCCACTTACTAATGGCGCACCAGCAGCAAATGTGCCATTAGTAATCCAGGTTACTAATGGCGCACCCCCTGGTGGTGCGCCATTAGTACTTTTGCAAAAAAAGGAATAAAAACAATAATAAAAAAAATAACATTAGTGGCGCACCTTATGGCTGGTGCGCCATTACTAGTTACAACTAGTAATGGCGCACCACCAGTGGATGCGCCATTAGTATGTTTGGACAGGCGCACTAGTTCAAAAAAAAATTGGTACTAATGGCGCACCGTCGGCAGGGTGCGCCATTAGTAGTTTCAACACTAATGGCGCATCAGAAGGTGGTGCGCCATTAGTATATACTAATGGCGCACCACAAGTCTGGTGCGCCATTAGTATCCCTCTATAGCCCTTTTCCTAGTAGTGTTAGGTGTCACTTGGGAGCCTCCGACAAGATTGTGGAGTTGAACCAAGGAGTTTGTAAGGGCAAGGAGATCGCCTACTTCGTGAAGATCTACCCTAGTGAGGCAAGTCCTTCATGGGCGACGACCATGATGAGATAGACAAGGTTGCTTCTTCGTGGACCCTTCGTGGGTGGAGCCCTCCGTGGACTCGCGCAACCGTTACCCTTCGTGGGTTGAAGTCTCCATCAACGTGGATGTACGATAGCACCACCTATCAGAACCACGCCAAAAATCTCCGTGTCAACATTGCGTTTGCTCCCTCAAACTAATACCTTTACCTTCATATGCAATTATTTTACATTCCGCTGCTATACTCTTAGAATTGCATGTGTAGGTTGATTATTTGTTTGTGCTAAGTTGCTAAAATCTGCCAAGAACTAAAATTGGGAAAATGCTAGATTTTTATTTGGTCAAGTAGTCTAATCACCCCCCCTCTAGACATACTTCCGATCCTACAAGTGGTATCAGAGCTTTGGTCTCCATTTGCTTTGATTTCCATAGCTTTTGGTGGTCATAGCCTTGGTTTCACAACCTAGGAGAGTATGGCGTCTAGCAAGGGAAATTACCACCGTAGAGGTTCTTACTTTGATGGTACTAATTTTGCTAGTTGGAAGTATAAGATGAAAATGCATATTCTTGGACATAACCCCGCCGTTTGGGCTATTGTGTGTGTTGGCTTGCAAGGTGAATTCTTGGATGGGAGAGAACCGAACTGTGAAGCTACCGCGGAAGAGTTGAAGATGCTACAATACAATGCTCAAGCTTGTGATATTCTCTTCAACGGATTGTGCCCCGAAAAATTCAACAAAATCAGCCGTCTTGAGAATGCAAAGGAAATTTGGGATACTTTGATTGATATGCACGAAGGTACCGACTGTCCGACTCCATCAAAGAATCCAAATTGGATGTGCTTCAAAGTCAACTTGACAAGTTCAAAATGAAGAATGCTGAAGGTGTCGCTGAAATGTACTCTAGGTTTGCTCTCATCACAAATGAGATTGCCGGCTTAGAAAGTGAAGAGATGACCGACAAATTCATCATCAAGAAGATCCTAAGAGTCTTGGATGGAAAATATGATACCGTGTGCACATTGATCCAAATGATGCCCAACTACAAAGATCTCAAGCTGTCGGCGTTCTGGGAACGGGGGTCTCTAGACTTGCCTGTCTGCGGCCTGCGGCGTGGCTCAAGTGGGGGCCCAGCGCGGCCCATCTTCATCAACTCAAGCTCAAGACCCTCGTGAGGGGCCAAGCCTCGCAGGGCGGACGACCGAAAGCTTCCTCAAAGGCAGCCTCTTCAGGAAGGCTCGCGAGGAGGCGGAGAGATCAAGGCAGGGGTACCTCGCGAGGAACCCGTGACGCAAGCCATGACGATCGAGACCAGGCGGGTGCCAGGTGGGCGCCGGCCTGCGCAGTGTCCTTGTTTTCTCTTTGATGCAAAGGGGGCAAGCACATGCAAAGGCATCAAGCAAAGGTTACCATTCCGGTGCAACGAGACCAAGACCAACAGAGCGGCAGGACGAAGGTCGCCGTGAAGCCCAAGACGGCGTCATCACCCCGAAGACCACCTTTGGTCACGATAACTTGTACTAGATGTTCCCCTTCAAAATGGCCAATTGTTGGCGCCCTTCACGCTCATTATTTGGAGAGAGGCCCAGGGCCTCTATAAATAGAGCTAGCCACCACAGAGTAGAGGACATCTAGACAGAGATCGATCGATCCACCGATCGAGTGAGAGGGACATGAGCTAGAAATCTGGTAGAGCCCTAGGAGAGAGAGAGGCGACTGAACTCACCCTAGCAGTTCATCGCGCCAGCTCAAGAACACCTCTCGCGAGGTTGTTCTTCCTTTGTACTGTTCATCATCAGCCCTTGAGGCAATCCACCACACCACACACTGGAGTAGGGTATTACACCACAACGGTGGCCCGAACCAGTATAAACTTCGTGTCCCTTGTGTTGTTCGTTGTTTCCAGCTTAGATCACGCGAGGAGATTGGACGTAGATCGGTAGGGGAGAGATCTCCGCGCGCACCCCAGTGTTCGAATCTCAAGGGTTTGCCGGAACCCGAAATTCGACATTTGGCGCGCCAGGTAGGGGTGCGCCGGAATCTTTCTTCCATTGTTCGCGTGTGATCTTCCATCGTGTCCATGGCTGACGCTCGTCGGGCTCGCGCCGAGTGCCGGGCTGCTCTCGCCACCCGCGTCACCCAGACGGCTCCCGTCGGCGGTCGCCCTCGTCGTTCCCCATCGCCTGCCGCCAACGCCGCCACCGGTCTAGCGGGGAACGAGCAGCAGGCCTCATCCCAGCATCCTTCGGTACGGCGGGAGGGCCGCACCGCCACACTGTCGCTAACTCCAGCCGCTTCGTCGTCCCACGCCCGTCGTGCCCCCGCGGACGCGCACGCCGCGCTGCTCCTGGCAAGAGAGCTCCTGCACTACCACCCCGTCGACGACCTCTACAAGGACTGGCTCGCCCACATCACCGAGCTCGTCAGCGCAGCAGGGTGCTCCCCCTTGCCATCCTTCTCACTGCCTCGCCCTCCATTCTGCGCGGGAGGCGAAGATCAGGAGGTGCCTCCACCACCTCCTCCCCAAGAAGGCGCCCTGGCTCCAAGGCGCACAGCCCTAGGGCGAGACCCTCCGTGTCCGGTGCCTGCGCAGCAAGAAAGGAGCTGCCAAGAGATCCCTCGTCCCCGAGAAGGTGCTCGCGCGCTCCCAGCACCGACGCGCCAAGACCGCGTCCCTGCACCTCCACGCCAAGACCCCGCCCTACTTCAAGCGACGGCGCACGGCAATCCCCAAGAGCAAGCTCAGTACCAGCAAAGGGCACCGGTGGCCACAGCCGGCTGCCGCGCCCTCACCCCCGAGCTACGCGACGTCGTATGGCCAGGAAAGTTCAAGTCTGACCTGCCCCCTCGCTATGATGGCACGGCGGACCCCGCGGAGTTCCTGCAGCTCTATGAGCTGTGCATCGAAGCCGCCAACGGAGACGAAAGGGTCATGGCGAATTGGTTTCCCATGGCGCTCAAGGACGGGGCCTGCACCTGGCTCCTGAACCTGGCTCCTGGCACGATCTCCTCCTGGGACGAGATGCGCACCCGCTTCATCACCAACTTCCAGGGCACTCGCGACCGGCCCCCGGCCGTGAGCGATCTGCGCCGCATCAAGCAGCAGCAAGGGGAAATCCTGCAGAAATACATCCAGCGCTTCAACAACGCTTGCCTCAAGATCCCCAAGGTGACTAAAGAAGCCATCATCTCGGCCTTCTCCGATGGCGTGCGCGACATCAAGATGAAGGAGGAGCTAGCAATCCACGAAGACCTGTGCACATCCTGGAGCTGTTCAACTTGGCGACCAAGTGCGCCAGGGCTGAGGAAGGGCGCCTTTCCCTCCTCGAACTCCCGGCTGCCAACCCAGAAGAGAAGAAACCCAAGGCCAAGGACATGAAGCGCAAGGGGGCTGCCGTGCTTCCAACGGAACCAGACACCAAGCGAGGCAGGGATCATCCTGAGTCATCCAAGGGCAGCCGGTACTGCGTGTACCACGACCTCCACACCGACAACACCAATGAATGTCAAGAGCTCAGGGCCGTGAGAGATGAACGTGTCGGCCGACGCCCCGAGCGCAATGACAGGGGCTATGGCCGAGGAGGAGGAAGAGGTGGCGGACGATGGGAAGACCGTGGCCGTCGCCAAGGGTGGCGTGACCGACCTCGCGAGGATCGCTGGCAGGACCAGCCTCGCGAGGGAGGCCGGAGAGATCAACCTCGTGAGGATCGCCCGCACGGCAACGCAGGCCTTCCTCCTCTGCCACCACCACCAAGAAGGAACGAAGACCAACATCAAGACGAGGGGGCTAGGGGCTTCCAGGAGCCATGCGCAATCGCTTGCATCTTGGGTGGCGCGTAGGCCCCAGTCTCACAGCGCATCTTCAAGCAGTTTGCTCGCGAGGTGAATGCAGTCCTCCCCAAGCTTGAGGCCACGTGCCCACTCAGGTGGTCTGCGTGCGCCATCATGTTCAGCTCAGCGGATCAGCTCGAGTGCGCGGCAACGGCCGGAGTCCTTCCGATGCTTTGCTCCCCGGTCATCAGCAACGCGCAAGTCACCAGGACCCTCATTGACAGCGGAGCAGGACTCAACGTCCTGTCCGTCGAGACGTTCGACAATCTCCAAGTGCCGTACGATCAGCTTCAGCCAACCAAGCCCTTCTCAGGAGTCACTGATGGTTCCACTGTTCCGATAGGGCAGGTTCGCCTTCCAGTCACCTTCGGGTAACGCAACAACTACCGCATCGAGCTCATCGACTTCGACGTCACCCACATTCGTCTGCCATACAATACCATCCTCGGGTACCCAGTCCTGGCCAAGTTCATGGCAGTAACTCACCATGGATACATTGTCCTCAAGATGCCAGGAAGCGGTGGAGTCATCACCGTGCCCTGTGAGGAAAGGGAGATAGTGTGTTCACTTGAGCATGCATTCCAAGCCGCAGCAATCGAAGACCCAGACCACAGGAACGGAAGACTTCCCGAGGCGACCCTTAAGAAGAAGAAGGTTTCGCCTGGCCCGAGCCACAAGGAGGCAGGCGCCTCTGGAGGTATTGCGTCAGGATCCACGCCCGATCAGGGAGCGCCACCCTCCCTCGCATAGGAAGGCGCGCCCGACGCCCTCCTCAGGCAGGGCTCGGGGGCTCTTTCTTGGAGAGCCACCAACCTTGCCAAGGTCATGAGGGAGGTGCTCGGGCACCACTTGGAGGGGTGCTTCCAAGCACGTTTCCCTCAGGAAGGTACAAGGAAAGGAAGACCAAACCCACATGAGTTCATCGCAAGGAACACCCAGGAGCTGTAGGAGTCAAGAGTCATGCGCGGTAGCCACCGCTTACCCACCATGGCCCCACATCGAGGCGAGGATGGTGGACTGCGCGTCTGCATTGACGTGCCAGGGCTCAACCGAGCCGCGTCTCTGGAGCGCCTCTGGCCTTCGCGCGTGGGGCGTTGCAAGGGTCCACCTCACACCTACGTTCGCATGCCTTTCGGCCTGCCGAACGCGGTCGCCGCTGATCAGCGCCTGCTGAGGAGCATTCGGGAGGCTCAGGAGGTCAGGCATTGTGCGGTCCTGGCGGAGATGGAGATGGCCCTCGGAGACCCACCTGCGCCTCAGGAGCCTCCTGAGGCCCCTGGGCCTGGGGGCTCATGAGGGTCGACGTCATCATCGCGCAACGCCCACTTCTTCAACATCACTTCGTCTTCAACGGCACCAGGTGACATCTTTCTAAGTTCTGTTTTTAGCTGGGAGCGCCCATAGGGCCGCATCATTACCAGGTCACGTGGGTCCGTCCCTGCGGCACGTATCCGTTTTGCTTATGCTCTTTACTCACCTTGTTGGGGGCACCCCTCGGGCTGCATCACCCCCGAGCTGCTCGGGCATGGCCCAGCGGCGTTTGCTTTTCTCGCATCTGCTTAAAATGAATTTGCTCTTTCGCGCTTAATTATCACCTGCTGCTTATCGCGGACTTCTCCGCTTTCATGCAAAGCGCTTGCACGTTAAAAGGGGGGGTACCTGAGCATCGCAACTCATGGGCTCCTACTGGCTCTCCAGCCCTCACCCCCTGGCCTTGACCCACGGCATCGCGACCTGTCATACCAGCGGCGGCTGAGCTCGCTTGAGGGCCGGGACCTGAGGATGTAGAGCATTTGCATTCTAACCACCCTGCAGGAACACACCATTGATAAAGGCCCAGAGCCAGGCGCAACCCGCCTCGAGGTAGGGCCTCGTGAGTCCCGCGCTGCCTCACGAGTGCCCAGATACACCTCTCCTAGCCCTACCGTGCCGGCCACGTGTCAGGGCGGGGCTGTACACGCTCCGGGGGCTCCTCCCAAAGGGGAGCCCCCTCCCACGTACCAGTGAAAGCACCATGCTCCGCGCTGGCTGACGACACTGCCGAGGAGCGGCTATGCCCGTACACATACGGAAGCGCTATGCTCCGCGCTGGTGATAAACAACTGAGGGCGGCCTCCGGCCGTACCAACCTTAGGGAGCCCAGAGCTCAGTATCCGGCACCATCGCAACGCCTCCCCTCGGGAGCGCCGCGTGAGGGGGCTAGACACGGGGGATACGCCCGAGCCTCGCCCGAGCGCACGCCACCCGGCCAGGTCCCTCGGACCTGGTCGACACACGCCCCTCCCTGTGCGGAGCCAAGGTATGGAAACCCGTTTGAACGTCAAGGGGGACTCCTGAGCATCGCGACTCAGGAGCCTAACTTGCCCCGTAGCCCCTCACTCCTTAGTCCCGTCCTGGTTTCCGGTCGGGGCTAACGCTGGGTGAGGTACACGCGGGGCCGGGCCCTGCCGACGCAGAACGACCGATCCACTCCTTACTCCACCCTTTCCTACTTGTTGCTTGCACGTCAAGGGGGACTCCTGAGCATCGCGACTTAGGAGCCTAACTTGCCATGTAGCCCCTCACTCCTTGGTCCCGTCCTGGTTTCCGGTCGGGGCTAACGCTGGGTGAGGTATGCGCGGGGCCGGGCCCTGCC